CGAAACTGGGAAAATAAATTTTACGCTTACATTTTTTTAAATGAATATATATTTTGGCCAGACTGGTATAAATGCTACCTTATATCTTTCTCGTCTCACCTATGCATCCCTTACGTTTAATCACCTGTTTAAATTAAAACGTTACTTGTTTAACTACAACTCATTTAAGAACTCAATTTTTTTTTTCGGAGAATAAGCGATTCGCACTCGTTACCTCCGACATTGTGAACACTACGAACGAGTATCTATTCTTCGAAACATTATCTCTAGTTTCTTGATCCTTTGGTTATTTGATACCGTTCTTTTTTGCGTCTTTTTTGAGTATGCACATATTTGCATGTATTCGCTGTTTTGATTTATTTTCCTAATGCTGTTTACTGCAGTGCTGTTATTTTTAATTTTCCCCCTGCTATAATACCGGGAACGCGACCGAACAGCACACGACAAAACAGCGCGCGACAAAACAGCACGGTCATAACAGCACGCGTCAAAACAGCACAGCGTCAAAACAGCACGGCGACAAAACAGCACGCGTCAAAATAGCACGCGACAAAACAGCACAGCGTCAAAACGGCACAGCGACAGAAGAGCACATGCCAAAAGAGCACGCATGCAGCAACTTCGAGCGCGCTCTTCACTTCTCTCTGCGCGAATAATTTCGAACCTCCTTGACAATTTCATTTACTGTCGCTAGGTTATAAAAATAAATATTGCTTATTTGAGTGCTTACCAAACTCCGCAACCCTAACTGCAATATAGCATCTAATTTGGCTCTCATGAAAGTGGTGACAATTTGTTCTCTTCGACAAGGAAGAGCACACTGAAAGTCAATTATCGTGCGGCGATTTTACGGATTACACTATATAGGGCAGTATTTGCTTTGCCTTTTCAGGACAAAAATTATATATTTTGGTTTTGAAAAAGCGGCGACCAGTTGGCCTCTTCCACAAGTTGCTCTTTGACGAATTGACCTATTCAACAAATTGGCCATCGACGAGTCGGCTTTCGACTAAAGCCACCTCGTCGAATGCCTGCTTCCCGCATCTTTAGTATCTACATCACCATTTGATTCTTTTAGAAGTGCATTAACCAGCCATTTTTGTCAGCAGGCACCCTGACTGCTTTGTCTCTTGTTAATTTTTTTTGGTACATATTTTCATTTCTGTATTATGGTTTGTTACTTGCCCCTCCCCTCTGTAATGCCCTCGGGCCCCTTGAGGGTACTGAAATAAATAAATAAATAAATTGGCCTAGACCCTTCACTCCTTTTCAGTGCCTTCTTTCACACATGCATTTCTTAACTCCATACGATATATGTGGGATTCATCGTTTTCGGCTGAAACCGAATTAAACCGGTCAACGTACGGCGAATTGATTTTTCCGAATTTGGTTTTTACTGAAAAGCGAGGGCGTTTGGAGGGGGGGGGGGGGGGGGGTGACTCATTACTAACCGTATGATCACCTCCTTTCGTAGTTCGCATCTTGTTTTCGAGATCAGTTCAACTTTCAAAAAAAAAAAAAAAAACTCCAGGGGCGCAGGTATCTTCAGGACGAAAGCTGCGTTTTTGCACCTTGTTTGCGTGCAGCATTTTTTGTTCAAATAAGAGAGCTTTATTATGAACTGAACATTGAAGATCATGGGCGTCCCTGAATGCCGAACATGTTTTAACAGCTCTAGCTTCCGTCTACTAAAGGAGGGCATAAATACGATTGTTTTATTGTCGTTTCTGTGGTCGGCGCGAACTGATCACCTCTCGCAGCCGTGAAATTGGGGGGAAAAAACGCACTGAGTACAATGCTTGCGAATTTCTGGATTTTGACATTTTCCTCTCCGACCAAACTGGTATAGTGAAGATCATGTTCGTCCTGTGTACAAATGCGAGCACACGACGATAATGGTAGATAACAATAGGGCCTCAGTGCGTCTTGCAGAGCAGGTCCCGTCGGCTGCCACAGATTGCAACAAATAAGAAAACCAGTACATGGTTTACTTACTATAAACTCTTTTAAAAACTACTACATTTTCGTCAGTATACTGGTTTTCGTCACTAAACTGAAAAGAACCGAGAAGTTTGTGAGTCTACAAATACACATCGTAATAAACCGAAATCTTGTTTTGAAAAAAAGTACGCCGAATTTCAAAATAATAAAAACCGAAAAGGCCAGACTCTAACTATATTGTCAATATCCTGTTTTGACGCTGTATACTGTTTTGTCACTGTGCTGTTCTGGCACCGTGCTGTTTTGACGCGTGCTATTTTGACGCGTGCTATTTTGTCGCCGTGCTGTTTTGACGCTGCGCTGTTTTGACGCGTGCTGTTTTGACCGTGCTGTTTTGTCGCGTGCTGTTTTGTCGTGTGCTGTTCTGTCATGTGCTATTCTGCCTATAATACCACTACCGCTGCCATAACGCCGCTAATGGTATCTGAAAATAAATAAATAAATAAAAGTTACCTTCCGATCGCAGCTGATATGTCGTTTTAGATCGTCTTTCTCTCCAGATCAAGTTGAAAGATGGAGAGGGTACTGGGGGGTGGTTACTGTTGAGAGAAAAAAATACTCGTACTCAAATGTATTTTGTTTCTCTGTCTTAAGCCTACAAAACTAGTTAGACGATTTGTCGGTTTGCGCTTATGTGTCTTTTCATTTTGCTTACGTAAAATACCACTTAGACGTGAAAATGGTCTATGGTCCATGGTCACTGAGTCTTTTTTTGGATTCATAATGAAACAGAAATTGTTCATCCTTTCTTGCCTGCCGTGTAGTTAGTCGATTCACAGAGTGTCAGAACAATGTTTAGGGCCATCTAGTCCCCGTGCGACTACTTGGTAGAACGAATTGTGATCCACAAATACTCTACCACATTTTCATTCACAGTGTGTGTTCCACACTCATCCCTAATCCCGTAATATGAAGAGTGATTACGCCACCGCTGTTTCGCTCGAATAAAGAGAAAATAATCTTCCAGCAGCTAAGATTATAAATTGTTCCACTTTTTATTAAGCTACCCACTGCCGTATCTACCCTTGCACTAGTATTTGATCTTGTGGCACTTCCAGTATACATTTTGAAAGTATGCCTCTATGGTTGAGGTTCACGTGATACCTTTAGGTCAGTAGGCCTTTATCTAATGTTAATATATCAAGCTAATTGTTTTAGGTTGTAATTGTATTTGGATATAGCTTAGCAGAAATTTGTCGAAGAGTTGAAGTACGCTCGTGGCGAAAAGCTTACGGTTCAGTGGAGCCGGAAACACAAATTTGGGAAAACAGTCTCCCCATATATTAGAAGTTTTCATTCCATTTAATTTATGTCGTGTGGACCGAGGATAGTCTTGTGTATGTATTGCGTGAGGGAGGATTTGAACAAAGCAAAAGAAATCACAAACACCGGTACTAAGCAAAATCGTAAATAGCAGAGCAACACATCGGCTAAATTGCGGAGGCGTGAACATAGCATTGGCAGCAATCAAAAATGCACACGTTACCTTCTCAATTTAGCATCAGTAAAATAAGTGTTACATTTCTTCTTAAAAAAAAACAAAAAAAAACTACGGATCCTGTTGACAATTAAAACTCTTCAAACGTCATGGCAATGCTATAGGCGCCTAAATTGGATGTTGTTTATTTTATTCGTTCATTATAGTAGCATTGTGCTTCCTCGTTGACTTAGAAACGGTATGTTTAATATTTTAATTTGATTACTTATGAAGAACGAATCCAATCGTCTTTGTTTTTGCAACAACCTGCAAATTTCGCAGGAATTCACGCATTATGGTAAACTCCCATGATTCAGCTCCATACCGAGCTATAATTTCTCTAGTTTTGTATACCTTTAAAACAGCTAAGTCTATGGTACCGTTGTCTTCAGAAAACACATCAATGTGTAAATTGAAAGTACTGCTGCCTGTCACTAGGAACGTGTGTGAATTTAAAGTTTTGTTCTTACCTCTCCTGTTGCACAATGTAGCGGTGGTATTTGATTAATGTGTTCACTATAGATTGCCAATCTCGTTCATAAACGTTCGTCTTATATAAAACCTTCGGCATACGGAAACCTATATTTCTATTTGTCCGGAGTGAAGATATCAGGAGAAATGAACAAATGTGCAAAAAATCTCTTTACGCATAGCCGCATTTGAAAGGAGTAAATATTCAAAAAACATAAAACGCTCGAAGATAAAAAAACAACAAAAAAAAAACAGTAGACATCATAGTAACGCGTAACTTTCCGCACTGCACCCATCAGAATAGCTAGGCCCCAGTGCTTCTTATGTTTAGAAAGGGTGATCTCGGCAATTATTCCAGTCACAGATATAACCCTCCTTTTCACACGCCTGTCCAAGGTGTGCTTTCGTTAAACATTCGCGGCATGAAGATAAAAGCATGTTCAACATATTGATATCTAGCCCTAAAACAGAACGTTTGGGACGGTTTACTTGGACTGTCTTCAGTATCATTACTAAAGTTTTTTTTATTCGACTAGCTCATGCACACACAGGCAGGTACACAACACAAAACAATTATGTACCTCCTAACAGCAAAGACTATCAGGATTATTTTCAACATCAGAACACTTCACGATCTCAGGTAACATGAAGACACTTTCTATTTGATGTATCCACCAATCGATTGGTTATAACTGCTGATCCTTTTTTTCTGAACATAAAAGGTGACAAATTCTAGCAGTTTTCGGCTTGATATATCTGTTTTCAGGCAAAGGGGCACTGGAAGAGAAATCGGCGCAAAAAGTAAGGAAATGACAAGTAGAAGACGCTCCCAACCAGGGCGCTTACTGTCAACGTGCTTTTTTCACAACAAAAGTCGATAGCCAGGGCAGCTTGTGCGTGTTTTTGCACCTGTCCTTCTGTCTTTTTTGGCTTGTTTTATTTATTCTGATTAAGAACCCACTTGGCCAACAACACAGCTTATTATAGATTGAGAGTAGGTATCTCGCAATGCGGTGGTCCCTTCCATCTTTGACCGACCGTGTCCTCCCAGGCTATGCTCGGTGCTGGCAGTGTGGCTGCTAGTAGCCGTCTCCGGGGTGTGGGGCCAACCGCGGAGGAACCAGGACTCCCCCCCACAGCAACGGCGGTTGCTGCGGCCGTCATGGCGACCGCGAATCTCCTTCCCCTTGGACCCCACGTCGCCGACTGTGCCCGTCGTGTCCTCAGAGGTAATCGACCAGGCGGCCAGGGAGGCGCACCGCGTCATCGTCAAGCAGAAGGCTTTCGAGAAGGCCAATGCAGCCAGAGGTGAGTGCAGCCCTCCTTCATACAATGTCGCAGTCCTGGATTTCAGAAGTTCAGGCAAATACACGCGTTGAGTCTGTAAAGACGCGAGTGTTAATCGAACTGTGAACCACACTGTGTCTCGTGTTCACGCCTTGTAAGTGACCGAGGAAATTCAGCTCTATGGCCTTGCTATCTAGGAGGTAGCAAGGCTATCTGGGAGGACTCTGGAAGCAATATTTCTTATTTAAAAAAAAAAAAAACTCGCTGCATGACGCCTACTGAGCGAGACGCTGGCACTGATTCTTGTTTTGCCCAAAGGGTAGATTGAGCGTATATGTTTGTAGTAACTGTAATTTTGGTAAGAGTGAGCTCACCGGAGCTAATTTCACAGGCGGCCCCATAAAAGGAAAATGTGTCGCAACCCACGAACGTGCATTGGAATTGTGGAATTCCCTCCAGTGCGCTTTATGCGGCGTTCCGTAAATCTGACGGATATTCAGGGCGGCATACTGCTGCTCTTTTTTTTCGCAGCACGTACTAAAAAAATATGTCCCATTTATAGTCTGCCAAGAATAACAATCTGATTCAGTAGATTGCAGGTTTTGCGTGCAGAACCTCGAATCACTCTCAAGAAAAAAATTGTTATTGCCATATGATTTTTGTAAAATTGGTTTGAGCATGTGCTGCAAACAACGTGCGCAAGATGGCATCCCGGGAATACCTCCCGTACTTTCTATCGGCCATTGGTCATAGCTTTCAATGAGAGCAATTCTATCAAAGCAAGTGGAGGATATTTGTGGCCCCGCAATATGTGCACTTGTTTCGTTGAGAGAGTTCTCGTTCAAGGTGCATTCCCCCGTCGCTTTCATGGTGACCGATTTGCCTCAAGACGAGTTACCCAAGTATTTAAATACTTTTGGGGAGATTCGCAATGTTCGAGTTTCGTCGTAACTGTTTCCGGAAACGGAAAGTTTCTACTGGAAACATTAAAATGTGGTACGGTGTGCAGAGCTTTCCTGTGTGGGCAACATAAAAGTCGATTCCGACAGATTAAATTAAGTTTTTGGTGTGAAATTAACAATGATGTTGCTTACACAAGCAGCACGTATGTTGGCCAAGCAACGGCCAATGGCTGGGGATGGTCATGTGCCCAGTGGCCAAAGAGTGGCCATTCATTGGCCAATGCTTGGCCAATGGCTAATGGCCTGTGACCATTGGCCACTGGCCAGATGAAGGCCAGTCATCGGCCAATCTCTGGCCACTCTATGGCCCCTGGCCAAAGGGCCATTGCAAGCCATTGGCGAATGCTTGGTCAACCCTGTGCTGCGTGGGTTACTCTTGCAAGAGAGGAACTTGTTTATTTTTGAAATGAAGGTAGCCTTGGTAGCTTTAAAAAAGGGCACATTTCTAGAGACGTTGCACTTAACGTAGCTTCCGCAACGATGCAGGAAAATTTTGCGATAATGTACTGAACGCTTAAATCTAGGCAACAGTCCAGGCAAATCCTAACAATCTAGACAACCCACGCAATACGCTGCTCACAAACTCACTTGCAGCTCAGACTTTGACAACATATTCCTATCGAGGAAAACATTTGTATCAACTTTTTAAACGTGAGCCAAAAAAGGGAAAGACGTTTACACTCCCCTGTAACACCGAATTAGAGCGCAGCTCTTGAGGAGGAGGAGAGGTTACAAAGTGGACGGTATGCCTCTCTCCCTCATCCATACCCACCCCTCCTCCTCTACTGCTCCCCTCTCATTTAGGGGAAGATTTTCCCCTAAATTTAGTGCGAATCTTTTGCTGCTAAATTTAACGGTGCATTTTTTCAACTAAACTTAGCGGAAAACTTTTCCGCTAAATTTAGCGCTGAAAATTTCCACTAAATTAAGCGGGGAATTTTTTACCGATAAATTTAGCGGGGAAATTGTTTCCGCTAGATTTAGCGGGGAGAACTGTCCGCTAAATTTAGCAAGGAAATTTACCCATAATGCACCGCGCGGTTTCGCCAACGCTGACGACGACGGCGACGCCGACGGAGACGCTGACGCCACTGAAGTCGGAAACGGGCGCCTAAGAGCTGCGCTCTAAAAAAAAAAATCGGACAACGAGTAGTCAATTATTACCTCCATTTTGTTTACAATTGTGAGATCATTTGCGTTTTGCACTGGCATGGATTTAGAAGCTGGCCTTATCCCTAGGACCCTCGTTGACAGCAGGCGCTTTTTACGGCAAAAACCGGAGGCCGGATTAGACTCTGCGTTCGGTGTCATCCTGTCTAGGATGACACCGGTTCCAGCCTCACTCGTGTGAAATTTATGACAAGTTTTTTTTTATGTAAAAGAAGTCGACTCTACGACCTGGTTGTATAGAAGGAGTGACATTAAAGAAAGGTAGAATTTGCAGTGCGCACCCTTATTGTCTTATCAGGCTGCCTTTTTAACTTCGAGCCTAAATGATGGCCTCCGGTCCCAAAAGGGCGGATTCGCATGCTCGCCGAAATGCCCGCCATCTGACAGAGGCGTCTTGCAAATATGCCGGAACCAAGCTCAGAGTTGCGCGTCCAATGTCGCAATGTCGTCTAAATGAATCGTCAGTTTGTAGCTGTGGCGTACGAGGTGCACTTTTGTTGGCGTGGCTCGTAAAGCCTCGAACTTTGATTTATTTTTCATTGTTTCGGATTCTTTGCCCCGTGAACCGCAGGACTCAAGGCCTCCCCGGTTCCCGTGTGCCCGGCGTCCTCCAGACACATGTCCACCCGCGTGGCCAAGGACAAGGCAATCGCTATGGACGAGATGGCGCACCTCTTCGAGGAGACCACACGCATCCTCTCGCACAAGTGAGCCACCCACGTGAAGATAACGACGCTTATCACTCGACTTGTTTCACTGCCACCTCTAAGATAGGGAGCCTTTCTTCCTCTGACATACATCGTCTCCTTGGGAGCCAGGTAGCGGCGCTACCTGCCTCGTGCGTGCTCAGCCGCACGCATCTCTCATGGCGTCTTACATGGGGCTTGCGCTCGGCGACGCATCCACAGATTCCATTCGTATTCTTGCCAAGCTTGGGATGAGTGAGGCTAACACAAACCTGGCTTCCAGGTTGGTCTAGACGTAGCTGTCGCGGGCATCAGGCGTTATTAAAAACGCGGTGTCAATCTTCTCGTTGGTATAATCATGTTTCTACCCTGAACGGCAAAGGATCAGCTTAACTGTGTGCACAGAAGGCTTGTGCACAGAATTTGCTGTACGGAAGCGGATGTTATTCCACCGCTTCCAGTTTGCTTTGTCTTGTACGTTGAAGAACTTGCCATTTTGGTGAGGTCTTTGGACAAAGCCTTGTAGCGCGCTCACCACCACGCCGCTCACACAGTTTTCTGGCTGGCTGTCTTCCGATATTCTAGACAGTCCCTTCCGAAAACAAAAAAGAAGCAAGAAAACCAAACTGTTTTCGTGCTATGAGTCCACGTTGAGAATGCAGGCGTGCGTGGAACATTTTTAAGAGGCGTGCACGCTTTTGTTTCTTGCCGTGCACAGCACAAGTCTTTTTTTTTTTTGTGTGTAGACAGCCAGCCCTTCAACTTCTGGATGTTTGCCATAGCGTAAATCAACTGGGAGTGAATAAAAATGAACAAAATATATTTAAGATGTAGGTATGATTGACCCATTTATTTTCTCTTGCGTGGATTAAAAAAAATTAGTGTTTCTCGATGCCACCGGCCCAGGGGGACATTGCGTAAACGATGGTGCGGTTAGAAAACCGCTGACGTGACATGTAGGTTCGTGGTCTCAAAGTTTGCGTTTTTTCGCTACTGAACAAGGTAATAAAAATAGCAGATAACGTTATTTTCGTCCCAAGTTTTAAGGTTGTGTCGCAAATGGACATTTTTGAATTTGCTGTGTTCTCTGTAGAGCGCAGCTAATTTTAATTGCGGGAAGAGTTGCGAGGACTCGCCGGGCTGCACCTATGCAGTTTTGAATCCAGCTTACATCCCATCCTGTACATGATGAAGGTGGAGAATTAAACAACATTATTATAAATGCCGTGCATCGCAATGGCTCCAGGGTTATATTAAAAAATAATCCTCCCTTTCAAAAGCAACCAATATTGAATCCCTCTTCGCAATGTCACTGACATTCTACAATACCTAGGGCAGTCGAGCGCCACCCCTGCACTCCTGATTTAAGACCACCATGAGACAACCCCTGTCTTGTTTTCCCTTCTTGTTTCCCCTGTTTCAGGGTTGTCTTCAATCAGGATCGTAAACCAGCTCGCACGCGCCTTGTCAATCACTTCAGCCACTACAGTCCTGCACGAACGAACAGGTGTCTACACCTATGCAAAATAGAGAGAGCCGATTTTTGCGACATGTGAGAACGGACGCCGCCTGCGGTATTGAAATGAAAATGCTTCCCCGGCGGAGACAGCATCTTTGAATCAGGAAAATCTTAAGCCAAATACACTAACCGCGTAAACAAGCCAGCGCCACTTTGTATGTTGTTAAAATAAAAAAAAAAAATAAAAAATACTTTCACCCCGAATGACTTGTTCGGCAAAGAAAGGTAATTTCGAGGAAATACCTGAATTGTACACAAATGGGTCCGCCAATAGACTGGTCTATCGTGGGTACCGCCATTTTGAACACAGTACCATCATCAAGAGGGCGTCAAGTTAGACAGCCATGCTGAATCGCAGAGCTGGGCACGATACTTTCGAAAAGTATTTTTGAGGCCGATACGCAATATCCACGAAAATTTCATTTCCAGTACTGATTAAAGATACCGAACCAATCCTATCGAAAATTGCACTTCAACCCTGATTTGTTAGGAACCCTCTCAATGCTTTAAAACCTTGAGCCCATCAAACACCTCAGCTTTTCAGACACCTTCAGCCCTTCAAAACCCTTCAGCTCATCAAATTCCCTTAGACCCTGCAGCCTTTGAGACCCATCAGCCTTCAACTTTGGGTTCCTTCTCAACAGAAAATCTCACAGCCACCAGTTTCTGACTAAGTTTGTATTTTAACTGACTGAAAGCATAAAGGGGGAACTTTTGGCAAGCCTCAGAACGGCGTGCCAACGTTTAACTAGGGGACTAGCTTCTTTAGGTCTCAAGATGAATAAATACAGGTTATCTTCACGAAAATAGCCAAAAAGTCCCCCTCCGATTCTCCCAACTCACCTCTCATCCTCGCGAGCGAGGACTGGGCGTCCTTGGGCGTCCCTAGCCCAGCCTGTGAAACACAAACGCAAAACACAAACACAGCACTGGCGCGGCGTTAACGAAAACCACGACAGGATAAGAACGGGAGAACGCCTCTTCAATTACCAACCCTCGTTGCGGTCGCTTGATATGAAATGGCTAAGCAGCTTCCCCAAGACATATATCCTGAAAGGTCACATGATCTCTCCCACAGACCCGTTAAAACAATGTTGTTTGATGCTGTCGTTTCACGGAAAGGCTTGGGACAGACCCACAGGCCTGTGAAAAACTATGATGGGTCCCCCAACCACTTCGTGTAAGAGACCCATCATATGATGGGTCTCCTACATTAGAACCATGATGGTCTTTCACACCAGAGAAAAACTATGATGGGTTTCCTACACCAGAGACGACGAAGAAGATTCGCCCAGCCCATAATCACCCGTGAACAAGGAACCGAGCTGGACCCGAAACGTATGGTGTTTTGTTTTTATTCAAACTTGGCTACAGTTTAAATTTTTTCGGTCGGTCTCCTACACCGATTAGAAACTCTTAATGGGTATGTCAGGCCCACTAGGACACATCGACTGAACTTTCAGCTTCTAAAGCATTTTTGAAGGATATATAAAACCTTTAAGAAATCCTGGTGGGCCCCACTCAAGCAGCGCAGCACACCGGGTTGGGACCGGGTCGGTATCGTCCTGCCGGTACGTTCGCTTCAGACAGCGACCGGCAACGCCCCAAGGGGCGGAAGTGTCCGGTCCCAATTGCCAGAATTTGGTCAGTACCACGAACTCACCGGACTCCCGGTACAGGGCTGCCTGTGTCATGCCCTGGCATCGACACTGGTGTTTCGTCGAGTTCTCGGGGACCCCGGAAAGTCCCCCGGGACGCCAATCAGTTCCTGGAACCGGCCGGATGCAGGCATTTGACCGGCAAGTTTCGCCCCGCGGGGCATTGACCTGGTATGCCGAGACCGGTGGCTCGGGAAGTTTCCGGCAGAGGCCAGTTTCTCACTTGAGTTATGTGAACGCGTACCCAGCTATGAAGCAGTTGTGACGCCTCTATAAGTCTTCATAAGAAATAGAAACGGGACATACAAAATTGTTGACTTGAGGTAGTTTAATGTGAATCACTGGGGAGGCTACTGCTCGGTACATCAGCAGGTTGGAATCTAAGGAAGCGGAGATTCTATCAGTCTCTTCACCCACCAGACTCAGACAGGAAACTACTTAGCTTCGGAACCAGATCGAAAATGCACTTTAAAGGGGAGTCCTTAATTATAGTTGCTTCAAAGAGAATCGTCGGTTGACACAAATCACTTGAATAACCGGGTAAATCAATATCTTGGATACCAGTTGCCCACAAGGCACTTGTCTCCTATTGCGCAGAAGACACTAAGAACAAGTTATTCTTAAATTTCCTAACAGAGGGTCCTATTCAACAGTGCAAAAGAGCCGAGCCCCAATGGAGTGTAAGAGTTTTGGCTTGGCGGACAGGTTAAAGAAGAAGTTGTGTGTAAGCAGATGGGCATTTTATCAGAAAAAGCAAGAAGCCCAAAACAGTGTTAGACCTGAGATATGTCATCAGCCCGTGTAATATCAAGACTTTTCTGACTTATGCCTATATGAAATCCTTTGCATGAACCTTTTCTAAGAAGTGTTCAGAGCATCCGAAGGTTATCCTCACGTAGCGGCAAAAGCTATAATTACAACCAGTGCAAGAGCTGTGATTACCTCTCCTGCCCCCTCTTCCACTCATCTGTTCCTGCTTCATTCACATAATTTCTCATTCTGCTGAGAACAAAGCATAAAATCAAAAATTAGGGCTGAAATGATTACACCTATGTCAGCGGCGTTCAATGTTAGCGAAGCAAAAATAGTATGAAATAAATATATAAAAATAATGACAGCCTGAAACCTATTACTGAAAGCACTTTTGATGTGGTGGATGAGCAACCCCTAATATTCAATACTTACAATGTAGCGCAAATGCAACACAGGAAGGAGACAAAAATTGGAAAGAACACTGCCCACAAGTAGGTAAATGCATTATCGTGCTACTCATAAATACACTCACAAACGTTACTCACAAATACAGTAATTTCCCAATTGTGAGTAGCGTTCTTTCCTATCTCTGTCTCCTTCCTGTGTTGTCTTGGCGCTGAATTGTAAGTATGAAAAACCAATTAGCCCAACAGCTCATTTTAATACCCTAATATTTAAGCTGCTTAATGCATCATCGTATCATTCTTTCAGCCTGGGGTCGAATATACTTCAGAACTGAATACTTTTCTTTGATTACTCCACTTTTTTACTTGTATGACAGATTCAGAGTACAATATCATCAGTTAAGTTAAATGCTACTGTGTTTTAAGGACGGTAATCAATTCATCACTTGCAGCCGATCGATCCCAACATCTTCGATGTTTTATATTGCCGCAATGTTGCAACTTCATGAGTAAAACATTGAAGCCTTCAAAAGAAAGTGTTTGAGTCCTTTATGAACGTTTTGCACCCTTATTTTAAATCTTTAGCACCATTTAATATCGCACTGCAATGAGGACCTACCCCACTGACTGTTTATTTTTCTCGCATTGACTGATTGTTTGTAGACATGCTATCGATCTGTTTCGCTG